TCTGGATGTAGGGGGCGTTGCTTGGACGAAGGGGGGCGTGGTTTAGGTGTACGGGGCGTGGCCTAAAAGGAGGCGTGGTTTGGGCATAGGGGGCGTGGCTTGCACGAACGTGGGCGTGGTTTAGGCATATGGGGGCGTGACCTGAAAAAAAGGAGGCGTGGCCTAGACAAAGGGGGAGTGGTTTGACAGAAAGGGGGCGTGGTTTTGGGGAAGTGGGCGTGGTTTCGATGTGGGCGTGGCCTCTGACTGCCCTTCCCTCCCCCCCCCCCGTCATTCCCCCAATCCAGGACCTGACGCAGGAGGTGGTGGGCGTGGCCAGCGGGGGGGCGGGGCCTGATGCCCCCCCCATGGAGGGGTATCTGTACAAGAGGGCCAGCAACGCTTTCCGCACCTGGAGCCGGTACCTTCCCCCCCCCCCCAACACCCATAAGGACCCCCTCACAACCCCACCCCCCCACCCCCACCCCAAAAAACCCCAAACCTTAAAACGCCCTATAACAGTTTTCCACTCATTGAGATTCATAGCAGGACCCACAGGGACCCCATAGAGACCCATATGGAGACCCTGCATGGCCCCATAGACATCCGTAACTGGACCCATAGAGACCCATAGTGACGCCCATTGTGACCCCATAAGGGCTCGTAGTGAGACCCATAAGGATTCGCAGTGAGACCCATTGAGATTCCAGAGTGAGAACCATAGGGATCCATAGTGGGACCCATGGAGACCCCATGGAGACCCCATGGAGACCCTCTGTCCCCATAGAGACCCATAGAGATCCATAGAGACCTTGTGGACACCCATAGAGACCCATGCCCCCATAGAGAACCCATAGACAGCCATAGAGACCCATAGAGACCCAATGTCCCCATAGGGCAAAGACCCCATAGAGACCCTATAAGTACCTCAAAGGGACAATTAGAAATCTATTGAGACCCACAGAGACCCACTGAGACCCACAGTCAGACCCATAGAGACCCCATAGGGCCCCACTGGGACTCATAGGAGATCCATAGATGTCCACAGAGAAACCCATAGGGCAGAGACCCCATAGAGACCCCATAAAGACCCCATAGTGACCATTAGAAACCTATTGAGACCCATAGAGACCCATTGAGACCCATAGAAACCCCATAGGGACGCATTGGGGCTCTTAGGGGTCCCATAGATGTCCATAGAGAAACCCATAGGGCAGAGACCCCATAGAGACCCCATAAGTACCCCATAGGGACCATTAGAAACCTATTGAGACCCACAGAGACCCATTGAGACCCATAGAAACCCCATAGGGACGCATTGGGGCTCTTAGGGGTCCCATAGGTGTCCATAGGGAAACCCATATGGCAGAGACCCCATAAAGACCCCATAGTGACCCATAGAGACCCACAGAGACCCACTGAGACCCACAGACCCATAAAGGACCATATAGACCCCATAGAGACCCATAGGTCCCCACCGGCCCAGTTTTGGGGTCTCACCCCCCATTTTGGGACCCCTCCTCATTTT